TATGAATGGTAAAAAATATATAGTAGCAAATATTTATGCACCCAATAAAGGGCAGACTATATTTTTAAACCAATTTTTCCAAAGATTACAATCATTTTATGAAGGTGAAATACTAATAGCAGGGGATTTTAATAGTGATATTTTGAATAATAAGAAGTTAAATTAAATAAATGGAAACTTAAAGAGGTATATAACCTATTGCAAGAAGAGAAAAAACCTATATTCTTTTCAAAAAGGCATAACAAGTTCTCTTATATTGACCACATCTTATTAAAAGAAACTAATGATATAGAAGTTACCAGGGTGGAAACGGGCGATATGGATCTCTGACCATGCACCAATTATTATAGAGATAAGGTTAGAGGAGGAGCAGAAGATTAAAAGGTGGAGAATTGACCCCAAAATATTTTTACAGCAGAAGGATAGAGAAGATCTATTAAGAGGGGTGGAATATTATTTTAAGGAAAACAATCAGCAGAGGAACATATAATTTGGGATGCAGCAAAGACGGTCATGAGAGGAATATGTATAACTAAAATATATATTTTAGGAAGAAAATGGGGATTAAAAGAGAACAAAAACTAAAGGAAATATTAGAATTACAGAGAAGCTTGCAAAAAAAATATGAAAAGCAAACTGAGGATAAATTGAATAGTCTGTAAAAGGAACTGCAGGAATTGGATTTATTTGCTATGTGGAAAAAGGAGTTATTAGTGAAAAATGAATATCAAAATAGTAATATAATACTGTAATGTAATAATACAATGAAGAGGCTAGCAAATTACTTGAAGAGAAGGAGAGAAAGGCAAAAAATAACTTGTATGAAAAATTAAACAGGAAATAAGGTTTATAAGAAGTGTTTACAAAATTTTATCAAAACATTCACAGTGGGAGAAAGTAAACAATTTAATGAAGTTATAGATAATAAAATTAGGAGACAGAATTTGATAATATTAAATGAAGATATTACACAACAAGAAATTTTGAATGTTATAAAGAATCTAAAAAATGGGAAGTCACCAGGTCTGGATGGATTCACGGCAGAATTTTATAAAATGGTGGGAGACTGAATAGTTCTGGAAATGCAGAAATTATTTAATAAGATATTGAGGGGAGGGGAAGCCCCAGACACTTGGAGGAAGATGGAAATTATGAGAATTTTAAAACAACAGAGAGATCCAATGGATCATAGTTCATATAGACCAATAAGTTTGGCAAACTAAGATTATAATTTTTTTGTGAAGGTGTTAGCAAATAGACTGAAGAAGTTGCTTCCAAAGTTAGTGGGAGAGGATCAATATGGTTTTGTGAAAGGAAGATCTATTGGTCACCCCATAAGAAATGTGATTAATGCTTTGTACCATGGTAATAATAGTAATAGAAGGATAGTGTTAGAAAATCCCCTGGAAGCCTTGAAGGAACTTATGATAATATTACAGGACTTTAAAATGTATTTCGATTTAGGGGTAAATATTAAAAAGTCAGAAATAATGTTCAGTAGGACAAACTTAAAAGACGTAGCAAGAATAACAGGTATGAAGTTGAAATACTTGGGTGTAATGATAACAAAAAATATTAAAAATTTGGTGGGGATAAATTATAAAATAGCATGGAGAAAGATACAAAAAAAATTAAATCAATGGAATAAAAAATTATCTGAGTATACTGGGGAAGATAAGGACAGTTAAAATGTTCTAATGCCTAGGATTATATTTGTTTCAGGTACTCCCAGAGTGGATATCCAGAAAACAGTTAGTAACATGGGACCAGGAAATTGAAAATTGAGTGTTTGGGAAGAAGAAAGCCAGAGTAGCAAAGAAAGTGATATACTCCCCAAAGGAGGAGTTAGGTTGGGGCATGTCACAATTGCAAAGGTGTTATGATGCTTTTCAAATAAGAATGATGATGGAAATAGATGGTAAAACTCTAGAGAAATGGGTGAGATGGGAGGATACTATAAATGGAGGAGCAGGTAGATTTGGAATATTTACACAGAACGTAAAAAAAGAAAATGAAAATACGATAGGCCCAAGACAGACAATGTTAAGGATTTGGGAAAAGAAACAAGCTGTTTGGATACCAATGTCTTTGAAATGGGATCCACTTGCATCTTTAAGTCAAGAATTTTAAAATTTTGAGATGACTTTTTGGAAGGAGTTAAAGGGAAAAGGTTTTTTTAGGTTGAAAGATTTGTATAACTCTCAAGGAAGATTGATCCCAATACAAGAAGTATCAGAGAAAGTGTCAGGACAATATTGGTTAAGTCAGGGCTTTTTTTGTAGAAAAAGCCCAGCAGGAACTCATTAGCATATTAGGCCACACCCCTGACAACACATCTCATTAGCCTATTAGGCCACACCCATGCCTTCCCTTGGTTTGTCCGAGCATCCTGCGGCAAGCCGGCCAGGGAAGGCACGGGGAGGCATTTAAATGCCTCCCCAATTCTTCCAGGGCCCCTCCAGCCCACCCGCCTCAGAGTCGCCGGGGGGTCACTCTCCAGGCCTTCCCTCTGTAGCCACGCACGCAGAGGTTTTGGCTGTAGTGGGTGTGGCCAACTCTGAAGCCAGCTGGAACTCCGTTCCTGTGCGTTCCTGCCCAAAAATACCCCTGGGTTAAGTATCATGGGATTATATAATGTTTTGAGACAAAAGGCATTCTAAAGATGACAATAAGAAGGGTATGGCAAGGAAAGTCTATAGTCTACTGAAACAAGATAAGGACTTTATGATTAGGACAATACAATCTAAATGGGAGAAGAAGATGAACCTATCAGTACAGGAGGTAAAAATGGAGAAATTTAAAGAACTGGAAATGAAATTAATCTTGAAATGGTATAGGACACCTGCTCAATTATTGTATATGATCAAGGGAATGAAATCAGAGTGTTGGCATTGTAAAAGGGTAAGGGGATATTATGCACATCTTTGGTGGGAATGCCCTAATGTAATGGATTTCTGGAATTCGATCCTGGAAAAGGTGGATAAGTTATGTAGTGTTGAATGAGAAAGTGTTATTTATGGGACTGATGGGAAACAATAAAGTAGGAAAATCCAAAAAGGACTTATTTAAATTATGATTCTAGCTGCACATGCGGTAATAGCATATGGATGGAAAGATGCTTTTAAATGGACTTCGGAAAGTTGGAATCGGTACCTTTATGAATGGATTCAATCAGATATTTTATTGATAATAAAACAGGAAAAGACATGGGATGAGAAGGCATTAGCAATAAGGAAGAAACGGTTTGGATATATCAGATTGGTAAGGGGGGGCTAATCATGATATATTTACAAAACTCCATAGGGTGTGCACATAGTTACAGATATAATAATAATATCCTTTTTCTTTTCTGGTCACTAGGGGGAGGGAATAATAAAAGGGAAAATGGGTGTATCTGATGTTTGGTTATGTTATGTAATCTTGATGAAAAGGATTATGAATGTATATGAAATGTTAAACACCAATACAAATAAAAAAAGTAACTGAGCAGAAAATATAGCTAAGACTGGATGAAGGCAATTGGTAAACCCTGTGAATTTAGCATACAGCGTAACAAAGGAGTTTACAGCAGATGCGAGAACTTAATGACCTTAGCATAGGTAGTGAGATAAGAAATCAATAACTTTGTTAAGTCCTGGGGGTTCCATTGTCCCAAGTGTTGTAATAACTTGTAACTCAGCAATCTTCCTTTCTAGTCGGTTTCTAAATTTCCTGTGCAATAAAACAGCTACTTTGAATGCCTTGGAAGGCTGAAGTGTTCTCCTACAGGTGTCTCAGTTTTGTTATTCCTGATGTCAGATTTGTGTCCATTTATCCTTTGGTATAGGGTATGACCTGTTTCCCCTAGGTAAATAACCGAAGGGCATAGTGACAGTAGGTTCCTTGTCATTTTGCCAACATTCTTTCTCACGTTGTTGTTTCTTGATATCATTGCATGTTTTGGTATGTGCACAACCGGAATTAAATTTCTGGAGCTCAAAAAGGAGATGGAGGGGGTGGCTTGGAAGAGTTGTGGATGGGAGGGGCCTACTGATTGCAACATGTTGGTAAATAATCTGTGTTGAATGTTTTGCTAAACCCCTGCAGACATTGACTAAAAGGAATAAACGACACAGGAGCTTTCCCATATGTGGTGTTTGCAAGTGACAGGGGCTTAGCCGGTTGAACTTCTGCCTACCATGCAACTCTGAAAAGCACAGGAGTGTCAGGAGCCACAGCAACAATGAAGTACACACTTGCAGGAAGGTTTTACTTTATTTGAAGCTATAGATGCATGGACAGGAAGGAACACTGTTAAGAATGAGGGATGAACTATGCACACAACAGTTATAGTACATTCATAAGAGCGTTGCCCAATGACTATGGTTCCCACGCGCACCCTTGGGCCTGGGAACTAACTGTTACTTGAAGCAAAAACAGGTATGAGCTTGTCTAAAGCCAAACCAATGATCTAAGCGACTCCTCCAGTGGCCTTGAGAGATACGAGCGTTGCAGAAGAGCAGTAATTAGCAATAGGGAAAGGTATGTGCATCTGTGGAAAGGAAGGTATGCACATGTGCAGAGAGAGAAAAGAACATTTTGGCAGCTTGCTGACAAGGAGGAGTGCCTCTGGAAGCGGGCACAGAGTCTTGGAGACTGCAGAAGGCAGTGTTATTCCTCTTTTAAGTCTCCCAGCCATGAACTGGGCCTCTGCGTATCCCCCCCCCCCTCCATCACAAGAATTACCATCGTGCAAACCCTGTGCATTGTTCCGGGGCGAAGCGCCGACTGGTGTCCCGTGTTCCCTCTAAGCGGAGTTCGTGTGAGCTAGCCCACCGTTTTTTAGCCTCGGGCTCACCCATTTTTGTCTCCGCTCGGGAAGGAGGGCTCCAGAGCAAACCCATTGATGCAGTAGCCGAATCCCTCGCTCGCAGCTTTAATGGCCAGTCGCTCACAAAGTGGAATGTCTGCTCACAAGACTCCAGAGCTGAGAGGGAGCCTGGCTGCTGTCCGCTCAGCCCGCCCGAGCCCTCCTCCTCCCTCCCACCCACCCAGCGGCGTGTTTGCGCCTGATACTCAAGCTCCTCAGCCGGGCACCCTAAATAGCCGCTGGCCCGGCAGGCGCCACCAGGGAAAGCGCGGCGGCACCAGCCTGGGAGCAGGTAAGGCAACAAGCGCCGCCGGCAAAGGGGGGGGGGGGGGGGGGGGGCGGG